CACTGAGCTGCTGAACTTGCTGACCAAAAGGTTGGTGGTTCAAATCTAGGGAGTGGAGTGAACGCCTGCTGTTATCCCCAGCTCCTGCCAACCTAGCATTTTGAAAACATGCAAATGTGAATAGTTCAGAACATCTCAACCTTCCTAATCCCCTTAATTTAGTTCCTCAAGTTGTGGTGACCCTCAACCATAAAATTATTTTCATTGCTACTTCATAACTGTAATTTTGCTCCTGTTATGAATCATAATGTAAATATCTGATATGCAGGATGTATCTTTATTCACTGCACCAAATTTGGCACAAATACCCAATACACCCAAATTTGAATACTGGTGAGGTTGAGGGGGATTGATTTTGTCACTTGGGAGTTGTAGTTGCTGGGATATATCGTTCAGCTGCAATCAAAGATCATTCTGAACTCCACCAGTGATGGAACTGAACCAAACTTGGCCCACGGAACTCCCATTACCAACAGAAAATACTGGAAGAGTTTGGTGAGCATTGCCCCTGAGTTTTGGAGTTGTAGTTCACCAGAGAGCACTGTGGACTCAACCAATGATGGATCTGGACCAAACTTGGCATGAATGCTCAATATGCCCAAATGTGAACACTGATGGAGTTTGGGGAAAATAGACTTGACATTTGGGAGTTGTAATTCCTGGGATTTATAGTTCACCTACAATAAAAAAAAAGCATTCTGACCCCCACAACAATAGAATTGGGCCAAACGGCCCACACAGAACCCCCCCCCCCCATGACCAACAGAAAATACTGTTTTCTGATGGTCTTTGGCGACCCCTCTGGCACCCCCTGACAACCCCCTTAGGGGTCCCGACCCCCAAGTTGAGAAACACTGGAATAGATCAATAGGTACCACTTCTACAGGAAGGTAAACGGCGCTCTGTGTAGTCATGCTGGCCACATGACCTTGGAGGCATCTACGGACAATGCCGGCTCTTTGGCTTGGAAATGGAAATGAGCACAAGCCTTGGAGTCGGACTCAACTAGGCTTAATGTCAAGGGGAAATCTTTTTACTCTTTCTACAAAAGAGACTAAGAGCCTCTGTTTGGATATCAGCCAGCATGCCAGTGCCTTAAATCAAGAAACAGCTTCCTAAGATCTACAGAGACACTCTCAGGAACACCTCAGCAAGCAAGAGTCCAAAACTGGCAGGCTAAAACCCGAAACCTCAAGCAATGGCTGATACCAAATGAGAGACTCCCCCCTGGGCACACAGAAGACGGGGCGATTTGGAAGGTGCTGAACAGACTGCGCTCGGGCACCACGAGGTGCAGAGCCAACCTTAAGAAATGGGGCCACAAAGTGGAATCCACGACATGCGAGTGTGGAGAAGAGCAAACCACTGACCACTGACTACAATGCAGTCTGGGCCCTGCCACATGCACAAGGGAAGACCTTTTCAGCAACACCAAGAGGCACTCCAAGTGGCCAGCTTCTGGTCAAAAGACATTTAGCATAATTCCAAGTTCTTTAAAAAAAAACACTTTTGTTTGTGTTTTTAAATGCATTTTAACAGTACCTTCAACTTGCTTCTGACACGATAAATACTGTATATACTCGAGTATAAACCTAGTTTTTTAGCCCTTTTTTAAGTCTAAAAAAGTCCCCCTCAGCTTATACTCGAGTCAAAGTTATTTATTATTTTACCCTGTTAGAAATACATAATAAATATAGCATTATTATTATTATTACATTGATCATTTTACTTTATTATTGTTTTCATTATTATATATATTATTTCATTATTTCTATTTATTATTGTTATTATTACATAGAATCCTAGAGTTGGAAGAGACCTCCTGGGCCATCCAGTCCAACCCCATTCTGCCAAGAAGCAGGAATATTGCATTCAAATCACCCCTGACAGATGGCCATCCAGCCTCTGTTTAAAAGCTTCCAAAGAAGGAGCAGAGAGTTCCACTGCTGAACGGCTCTCACAGTCAGGAAGTTCTTCCTCATGTTCAGATGGAATCTCCTTTCTTGTAGTTTGAAGCCATTGTTCCGTGTCCTAGTCTCCAGGGAAGCAGAAGACAAGCTTGCTCCCTCCTCCCTGTGGCTTCCTCTCACATATTTATACATGGCTATCATATCTCCTCTCAGCTTTCTCTTCTTCAGGCTAAACATGCCAAGCTCCTTTAGCCGCTCCTCATAGGGCTTGTTCTCCAGACCCTTGATCATTTTAGTCGCCCTCCTCTGGACACATTCCAGCTTGTCAATATCTCTCTTGAATTGTGGTGCCCAGAATTGGACACAATATTCCGGGTGTGGTCTAACCAAAGCAGAATAGAGGGGTAGTATTTAGGGCTGGGCGGTTTCGTTTCATTAATTCGTAATTCGTTAATAATTCGTTAATTTTTTCAATTACAAAACGATAACGAACCATTCTGGAGCAATTATTAAAAAAAACGAATTTTCAAAAACGTTTTGTAAATGCTTCGTATTTCGATATTGTATTCGTTTCGTTATTGTTTTGAGGTCGTTTCGTTATTATTTCCGCATGTCTGGGCCAGTTTTATGGTTTAATTAGTGAAAAAAAAATATAATATCACACCAACAGTCAACAACAGAGGGAGAGGGAAGCTTCAGAAGGTTTTGGAGGTTTTTTAGCGTATTTCGCGGTCGCGTCCGCCATTAACGAATCGATTCGTTATTGTTTCGGAAATCGATTCGTTAATTTTTTCCCATTTACGAAATTTCGTAAATATCGAACTTTTTAAAAGGAAAATTTTGTAATTATTTTAAATATCGAAACAAAAAAAACCCCAAATACAAATCGATTTTAGAAACAAATTTTTCCGTTGTTACCCAGGCCTAGTAGTATTACTTCCCTAGATCTAGACACTATGCTTCTATTGATGCAGGCCAAAATCCCATTGGCTTTTTTTTGCCGCTGCATCACATTCCTGGCTCCTGTTTAACTTCTTGTCCACGAAGACTCCAAGATCTTTTTCACACGTCCTGCTCTCGAGCTAGGCCTCATCGTCCCCCATTCTGTCTCTTTGCATTTCGTTTTTTCTGCCTAAGTGGAGTATCTTGCATTTGTCACTGTTGAACTTCATTTTGTTAGTTTTGGCCCATCATCTCTCTAATCTGTCAAGATCGTTTTGAATCCTGCTCCTGTCCTCTGGAGTCTTGGCTCTCCTTCCCAATTTGGTCCCGTCTGCAAACTTGATGATCCTGCCTTCTAGCCCTTCATCTAAGTCATGAATGAAGATCCTGATCAGGACCGGGCCCAGAACAGTGACTTGCAGTTTCTCAAGTCACTCCTTGTTGTTGTTGTTCATTCGTTCAGTCGTCTCCGACTCTTTGTGACCTCATGGACCAGCCCACGCCAGAGCTCCCTGTCGGCCGTCACCACCCCCAGCTCCTTCAAGGTCAGTCCAGTCACTTCAAGGATGCCATCCATCCATCTTGCCCTTGGTCGGCCCCTCTTCCTTTTTCCTTCCACTTTCCCCAGCATAATTGTCTTCTCTAGGCTTTCCTGTCTCCTCATGATGTGGCCAAAGTACTTCAACTTTGTCTCTAGTATCTTTCCCTCCAGTGAGCAGTCGGGCTTTATTTCCTGGAGGATGGACTGGTGGGTCTTCTCGCAGTCCAAGGCACTCTCAGCACTTTCCTCCAACACCACAGCTCAAAAGCATCTCTCTTCCTTCGCTCAGCCTTCCCTAAGGTCCAGCTCTCACATCCGTAGGTGACTACAGGGAATACCATGGCTTTGACTAGGCGGATCTTTGTTGCCAGTCTGATGTCTCTACTCTTCACTATTTTATCGAGATTGGACATTGCTCTCCTCCCAAGAAGTAAGCGTCTTCTGATTTCCTGGCCACAGTCTGCATCTGCAGTAATCTTTGCACCTAGAAATACAAAGTCTGTCTCGGCCTCCACGGTTTCTCCCTCTATATTCCAGTTGTCAATCATTCTTGTTGCCATAATCTTGGTTTTTTTGACGTTTAGCTGCAACCCGGCTTTTGCGCTTTCTTCTTTCACCTTGATTAGAAGGCTCCTCAGCTCCTCCTTGCTTTCGGCCATCAGGGTGGTGTCATCTGCATATCTGAGGTTGTTAATGTTTCTTCCAGCCATTTTCACCCCAGCCTTGCATTCATCCAGCCCCGCACATCGCATGATGTGTTCTGCATACAAGTTAAAAAGGTTGGGTGAGAGGATGCAGCCTTGCCGTACGCCTTTCCCAATCTTGAACCACTCTGTTGTTCCGTGGTCAGTTCTGACTGTTGCTACTTGGTCCTTGTACAGATTCCTCAGGAGAGAGGGAAGGGGGCTTGGGATGCCCATCCCACCAAGAACTTGCCACAATTTATTATGATCCACACAGTCAAAGGCTTTAGAATAGTCAATGAAGCAGAAGTAGATGTCTTTCTGAAACTCCCTGCCTTTCTCCATTATCCAGCGGATATTGGCAATCTGGTCTCTCGTTCCTCTGCCTTTTCTAAACCCAGCTTGAACATCTGGCAACTCTCGCTCCATGTATTGCTGGAGTCTTCCTTGCAGGATCTTGAGCATTACCTTACTGGCAGAAAAAACTGTATGACATTTACATTATTTTACTCTATTATTATTATTATTATATTATTATTATTATTATTATTTATTACATTATTTTTACTCTATTATTATTGAAGGATACGTAAGCAATTTACATTGAAGGTTAGAATAACGGTTTAATCAGAGTTGGGCAGTCTTATCTTAAATTACAGTTTTATGTAAATATTCAAAAACATTACCTCCTGATGCCTCAATTAATGTAATTTTATTAGTATCTATTTTTATTTTGAAATTTACCACCTGCATTTCCCACCCTTCGCTTATATGCGAGTCAATGTATTTTCCTAGTTTTTTGTGGTAAAATTTGGTGGCTCAGCTTATATTCGGGTCGGCTTATACTCAAGTATATACGGTAAGTAAAAGAATTCAATTTATTGGTGGCTTTTTGATTGATTGGCTTCTTTTGTGTCTTTTCAGAACTTGGCTGTAGGGGCAAAAACTATTGGATCACTGCAGTTGACTTATATCTCTAAGGTAAGTGCAATGTATAATCAGGGCGTCTGGGATATATAGTTTTCTCAAAATTTTGAATCCCCAGACATGGGGGTGAGTATATAACAATATATCTTGAAAATGGGGTGCAAGTGCAAGTCTGAACATGGAATTCATTGATATTTCTTACATACTTTGTACACTTTGTAGCCTGTAGGTAATAACCGTATATACTCGAGTATAAGCCACCCAAACATAATTTTACCACAAAAAACTGGGAAAACATATTGACTCGAGTATAAGCCAAGGGTGGGAAATGCAGCCACTACAGGTAAATTTCAAAATAAAAATAGATACCAATAAAATTACATTAATTGAGGCATCGGTAGGTTAAATGTTTTTTTTTAATATTTACATAAAACTGTAATTTGAGATAAGACTGCCCAACTCTGATTAAATCATTACATATCTTCAATGTAAATGTACTTACTTACGTATCCTTCCAACAATAATTTATTTATTTGTCGTGTCAGGGCAACCTGTCAATTGTATTACATTTCTAACAGAACAAAACAAACAAACAGACAAAACTCAAAATTTGCAAGCTTGGTAGTTGATTAAATGTCCTTTGACCAGTATCTGGCCCCTTGGAGTGCCTCTGGTATTGCCGCAAGAAGGTCCTCCATTGTGCATGTGGCAGGGCTCAGGGTGCATTGCAGCAGGTGGTCAGTGGTTTGCTCTTCTCCGCACTCGCATGTCGAGGATTCCACTTTGTGGCCCCATTTCTTGAGGTTGGCTCTGCATCTCGTGGTGCCAGAGCGCAGTCTGTTCAGCGCCTTCCAAGTCGCCCAGTCTTCTGTGTGCCCAGGGGGAGTCTCTCATCTGGTATCAGCCATTGGTTGAGGTGCTGGGTTTGAGCCTGCCACTTTTGGACTCTCGCTTGCTGAGGTGTTCCAGCGAGTGTCTCTGTAGATCTATGAAAACTATGTCTGGATTTAAGTCATTGGCGGGCTGGCTGATACCCAAACAAGGGATGAGCTGGAGATGTCTCTGCCTTGGTCCTTTCACTATTGGCGGATGTCAGGTGGTGCAAAACCGGCTAGACAGTGTAATTTCTCCAGTAGTGTAGGGCGCAGACACCCTGTGATAATGCGGCATGTCTCATTAAGAGCCACATCTATTGTTTTAGTGTGGTGAGATGTGTTCCACACTGGGCATGCATACTCAGCAGCAAAGCAGCACAGCGCAAGGGCAGATGTCTTCACTGTGTCTGGTTGTGATCCCCAGGTTGTGCCAGTCAGCTTTCGTATGATATTGTTTCTAGCGCCCACTTTTTGCTTGATGTTCAGGCAGTGCTTCTTGTAGGTCAGAGCTCGGTCCAGAGTGACTCCTCCCAGGTATTTGGGTGTGCCGCAATGCTCCAGTGGGATTCCTTCCCAGGTAATAATCCTCAGAGCTCGGGATGCTTGTCTGTTCTTAAGGTGAAAAGCACATGTCTGTGTTTTAGATGGGTTGGGGATCAGCTGGTTTTCCCTGTAGTAGGCAGTAAGGGCACCTAGAGTTTTGGAGAGCTTCTGTTCGACCATCTCAAAGCTCCCTGCTTGAGCAGTAATGGCAGGATCATCAGCATAGATGAAACTCTCTGTCCCTTCTGGCAGTGGCTGGTCATTGGTGTAGATGTTGAACATGGATGGAGCAAGCACGCTCCCCTGAGGCAGGCCGTTCTTCTGTTTCCGCCATCTGCTTCTCTGGCCCTGGAACTCAACAAAAAAGCTCCTGTTTTGTAGCAGGTTTCCTATGAGGCAGGTGAGGTAGTCATCCAACAATAATAAAGAGAGCAAAATAATAAATATAATAATAATAATAATAATAATAATAATGTAAAATAATGGAAATGCAATAATAACAGTAATAGAGTAGAATAATAAATGTAATAATAGAGTAAAATAATAAATGCAATAATAATAAAGTAAAATAATAAATGTAATAATAATCATAAATAGTGTAAAATAATAAATGTAATAATAATAATAATAATAATAGGGTAAAATACTGTAAATTTAATAATAGTAAAGAGAGTAAAATAATAGATGAAATAAAAATAATACTAATAACAGAGTAAAATAATAAGTAACCTTGACTCGAGTATAAGCCGAGGGGAGCTTTTTCAGCCTAAAAAAGGGGCAGAAAAACTTGACTTATATACAGTATATTGAGTATATACAGTATATATTTTTTCATATTCTTGTGTGTGAAGCAAGGCTTGTGTATATCGAACCATCTGAAACCAAGGGCATCCTTCTCTGAGCCATCCTCCTGGACAATTTGGGGATATTCTGGGTTTCAGAAGTTCAGCCAAAGGGTTCTCATTCTCAACCTGTGCAGGATTTCTTGCTTTCTTTTTTTAAAAAAAGCATTAAAGATTAAAAGCTGGGAGGAGGAAGTGCTAATTCGTTGGGCCTATCCCTTTCTGCCATGTGAATTGCCTTGCTTTATCTCCTCATCGTTTCAAAGCTATTTTAATTACAGTGTTAACCCTTTCTGGAAATGGAGCTGCGCTTGGCTAGCAATTTAAGTAGGACATTCTCCACCTTTTTCCAGGACATCAAACAGAATTTGGGTCACTGGGTTGTTGTAGGTTTTTCCGGGCTATATGGCCATGGTCTAGAGGCATTCTCTCCTGATGTTTCGCCTGCATCTATGGCAAGCATCCTCAGAGGTAGTGAGGTCCGTTGGAACTAGGGAAAAGGGTTTATATATCTGTGGAATGACCAGGGTGGGACAAAGGACTCTTGTCTGCTGGAGCTAGGTGGGAATGTTTCAACTGACCACCAGTATTCAAATTTGGGCATATTGGGTATGCATGCTAAGTTTGGTCCAGATCAATCATTGTTTGGTTCATACTGTGCTCTGGGTGTTGGTGAACTACAACTCCTCTAAATCCCTCCAAAAACCTGGAATTCAGAGTTCGAAGGAGTGTGAGAATAGCCAACAAGAAGGAGATCAGAGGCCAAAGAAATGCTTTCATGTCTTGCAAAGGGTATTAAGTAGTGTGTTTGAAAACAAACCTTTGTCAGAGCAACTTCTTGCTCAACCAAGCATCTTGTGCTCGTTTTCCTGTCTCCATGGTCTTGGGATTTTGTCGTGTTCTTGTGGGACTTTGTTTCGTTGGTGCCATTTGGAATCCTGCTTTACAGTGCTATGCTTTATTGGTCTTTAGAACATTATTTGCTTTTTAAACTTTTCATCTTTAGGTTTTTCCGGGCTATATGGCCATGTTCTAGAGGCATTTTCTCCTGACGTTTCGCCTGCATCTATGGCAAGCATCCTCAGAGGTGGTGAGGTCTGTTGGAACTAGGCAAAAGGGTTTATATATCTGTGGAATAATGTCCAGGGTGGGACAAAGGACTCTTGTCTGCTGGAGCTAGGTGTGAATGTTTCAACTGACCACCTTGATTAGCATTTAATGGCTTGAAAGTGCCTGGAGCAATCTTTTGTTGAGAGGTGATTTGATGTACCTGATTGTTTACTCTCTGTTGTTTTGCTGTTGTAATTTTAGAGTTTTTTTAATACTGGGAGCCAGATTTTGTTCATTTTCATGGTCTCTTCCTTTCTGTTGAAATTGTCCACATGCTTGTGGATGTCAATGGCTTCTCTGTGTAGTCTGACATGGCGTTTGTGAGAGTGGTCCAGCACTTCAGTGTTCTCAAATAAAATGCTGTGTCCAGGTTGGTTCATCAGGTGCTCTGCTATGGCTGACTTCTCTGGTTGAAGTAGTCTGCAGTGCCTTTCATGTTCCTTGATTCGTGTTTGGGTAATGCTGCTGTGTTTGGTGGTCCCTATGTTGACTTGTCCACAGCTGCATGGTATATGGTAGACTCCAACAGACAAGGGTCCTTTGTCCCACCCTGGTCATTCCACAGATATATAAACCCATTTTCCTAGTTCCAACAGACCTCACTACCTCTGAGGATGCTTGCCATAGATGCAGGCGAAACGTCAGGAGAGAATGCCTCTAGACCATGCCCATATAGCCCGAAAAAACCTACAACAACCCTGTGATTCCGGCCATGAAAGCCTTCGACAATACACAGAATTTGGGTCACCTTCTGTTCAATGAAGGGTTGCCATTGGGAGCAGCAAGATTGATGATTTCCCCCATGACATTTCAGCAGCATTTCTGCATCTTCTTGAGTTGCCTCTTGCCATGGTCATTGCCTCTTAGGGTTTCTGTGGGCCCATCTACACCGGTCATATACATCAAAGTGGGCCAGAATTCATTCCATGACATTTACATTATGCCACGGGGCAAATTCTTGCCCACTTCAGGGTTTTGTCCCACATTAGGAAAAGTTGGGGGATTCTCTGGATTCTCTGGAGTATCCCCAAAGTTACAGAGCAGCCCCTCACCTTGGGTTGGTGTAAAGAGTGGGCTGGTTCTGATTTGGAATTGCTGAAGCCACTATGGCTTTCATTCATCTACATTACCAGTTTGGAACTGGTAGAGTGTAGTTAAATCAGAACATCCCACTTTCCTTGCAGTCCATGAGGATCCACTCATTTTTGGAGAGGGTCCCTCTGACTTGGAGAGGTTTCCCCAACTTGGAGAGGGTTCCTTTAGAGAAGGTCCTTCAAATTTGGAGAGGGTCCACTCAACCAGAACAGGGTCCCCACTCTGACTTCGAGCTGGTCCCTCTGACTTGGATCTGGCTCCTTCGACTTGGGTAGTGTCCACCTGACTTGGGGAGGAATCCTCTGACTTGGGGAGGGTCCATCTGACTTGGAGAGGTTGCAATCAACCGGGAGAGGGTCCCCACTCTGACTTGGAGTGGGTCCCTTCAACTTGGTGAGGGTCCATCCAACTTGGAGTGGGTCCCTCCAACTTGGGAAGGGTCCAGCTGACTTGAGGAGGTTTCCCTTTGACTTGGAGATGTTCCATCTGACTTGGAGAGGGCTCCTCCAAATTGGAGAGGTTCCAGTCAACTGGGATAGTGCCCCCCCCCCCGACTTGGAGAGGGTCCCTCTAACTTGAAGAGGTTCCATCTGACTTGGAGGGGTTGCAATCAACCAGGAGAGGGTCCCAGTCTGACTTGGAGTGGGTCCCTCCAACTTGGGAAGGGTCCAGCTGACTTGGGGAGGTTTCCCTTTGACTTGGAGAGATTCCACCTGACTTAGAGAGGTTGCAATCAACCAGGAGAGGGTCCCCATTCTGACTTTGAGAGGCTTCTTCCAACTTGGTGAGGGTCCCTCTAACTTGGGAAGGGTCCACCTGACTTGGGGAGGTTTCCCTTGACTTGGAGAGGGTTCCTCTGACTTGGAGAGGACCCCATTGACTTGGAGATGTTCCATCTAACTTGAAGAGGGCTCCTCCAACTTGGAGAGGTTCCAGTCAACCGCGATAGTGTCCCCCCTCTGACTTGGTGAGGGTCCCTCTGACTTGCGAAGAGTCCACATGACTTGGGGAGGTTCCCCTGAATTTGAGAGGGTCCCCTGACTTGGAGAGGCACCACTCAACTGAAAGAAAGTCCTTTTGACTTGAGTATTGTTCCCTCAACTTGGAGAGGTTCCACTCTGGAATGGGTCCCTCCAACTTGGGAAGGGTCCACCTGACTTGAGGAGGTTTCCCTTTGACTTGGAGATGTTCCATCGACTTGGCGAGGGCCCACACGATTTTACCCCTCTCTTCTTCAAGGCTCCCTAGACTTCTAGCAGGATGAACAGGCCCTATGGCTGTCTCTGAGGCTGATCTACCACTCTGACCGGGCCCTGAATTAAGTGGCCTGTGTAGTTGCTCCCCGTGTCTTCAGCAGCTGCAAGATAGGCAGATCTTTAACAGGTGAAGCTTTTCTTTCATCTCTGATGCTGTGTAGGTTTGCCAGAGGGAAAACTGAAGGCAACTCTTAAATTTTTCAGTAGGTGTTGCTTATTACCTGTTGAATGCCTGTTGACACTTAGTAAGGGATTCTGTGGGTAGTTGGAGCTAGATAAGCAGAAAAGCAAGGTTTGAAGTTGCCGGTCCTTGCATCCATCTACTTTTGCCACACTCTTTAGAAACATACCCAAGGTTGAGTGCCTTCCACCCATTTCTGACTTACGGCAAACCTAAGGCAGGCCTATCACTGGTTTTTCTGGGATGGAGAGCTTGAGTCTTGCTCAAGATCACCCAGTTATTTTCTATGGCTGAGCAGGGAATTGAACCTTGGTCTCTAGAGTTGTGGTCCAACACTCAAACCCTTGTGGCTTTTGCTCCTTTACACCACCATTAAAGGTCTAAAAGCCCAGTTTTCAGTATCCCAACCTGGACTGGAGATGCATCACCTGGTGAATGTACTCCCGTCATGAAACTAACCACCTTGCTTCATTTCCCCAAATGTTGGCAAAACGAGCATAGCATTTTCTTGGAATTGCACTTTCAACGCTCTTCTTTTTCGCTCTGATTTTTCATGACAGGTCAGTGTGGCAACCCCGAAACAAAAGCCCAAAACACCATTCTGTTTTGGTAAGTGTAAGAGGAGAATGTGCATCAGGGAAAGAGGAGCAGCACCGACTGTTTTCAACAAATCCTTTGCATTTAAAGACTTATCAGTGGGTATTGACTCAATGGGTGACTTTTGACGGCTCATGGCCAGTGCTTGGTGATGTTTCTTGTAGTCACCAAATGGTGAGCGCGGATTTCCTTTGAGCAGAGATGTCTAGGAAGAGTGCAATAATAGCCAAAATATTGTAGCATCTCCTTGAGAAGTTGGTGCTAGGAGGATAGTAAGAGGGAATGTTGCTTTCCAAGCTGATTTATTTATTTATCGTATCAGGAGCAAAACAAGAATACAATTGTATTAAACAAAACAAACAAACAAAAAATAAAGTTTGCAAACTTGGCATTGTATTAAATGTCCTAAATGGCCTCTGGTGTTGCCACAAGAAGGTCCTCAATTATGCATGTGGCAGGGCTCAGGTTGCATTGCAACAGGTGGTCTATGGTTTGCTCCTCTCCACCCTCGCATGTCGCGGATTCCACTTTGTGGCCCCATTTCTGAAGGTTGGCTCTGCATCTCGTGGTGCCAGAGCGCAATCTGTTCAGCGCCTTCCAAGTCGCCCAGTCTTCTGTGTGCCCAGGGGGGAGTCTCTCATTTGGTATCAGCCATTGATTGAGATTCTGGGTTTGAGCCTGCCACTTTTGGACTCTCGCTTGCTGAGGTATTCCTGCGAGTATCTCTCTAGATCAGGGATCCTCAAATTAAGGCCCAAGGGCTGGATACAGCCCTTCAAGGTCATTTACCCGGCCCTCGCTCAGGGTCAACCTAAGTCTGAAAATTTGAAAGCACACAACAACAACAATCCTATCTCATCAGCCAAAAGCAGGCCCACACTTCCCATTGAAATACTAATAAGTTTATATTTGTTAAAATTGTTCTTCATTTTAATTATTGTATTGTTTAATGCAGTGTTTTTTGCACTACAAATAAGATATGTGCAGCGTGCATAGGAATTCATTCATGCTTTTTCCAAATTATAATCTGGCCCTCCAACAGTTTGAGGGACTGTGACCTGGTCCTCTGTTTAAAAAGTTTGAGGACCCCTGCTCTAGATCTTAGAAAACTATTGCTTAATTTAAGGCATTGGCGTGCTGGCTAATATCTGAACAGAAATTGGGCCAGAGATGTCACTGTCTTGGTCCTTTCATTGTTGGCTGCTACTTTCCGATGGATGTCAGGTCTTGCAATACCGGCTAAACGGTATAATTTCTCCAGTTGCATAGGGAATAGACATCCTATGTTAATGTAGCATGTCTCATTAAGAGCCACATGCACTGTTTTAACGTGGTGAGATGTGTTGCACACTGGGCATATGTGTTCAGCAGCATAGTAGCATAGCGCAAGGGCAGATGCCTTCATTGTGTCTGGTTGTGATCCCCAGGTTGTGCCAGTCAGCTTTCGTATGAAATTGTTTCTAGTGCTTGATATTCAGGCAGTGCTTCTTGTAGTTTAGAGATTGCTACAAACTTACGAAAAGCCCTTAAATGATGTTGATCTCCGATGCTGATTTCCTTCTCTCGGCAGTTATCAATGCACTTTCTCGTCGCTATGTCTTGCAAGCCAATGACCAGAAGGACCTGCAGGACTGGGTGGAAGCATTAAACCGGGCCAGTAAAATTACAGTAAGTTGACCCTGTGTGCAGTTTCAAGGCTCCTTCCTTCCTTCCTTCCTTCCTTCCTTCCTTCCTTCCTTCCTTCCTTCCTTCCTTCCTTCCTTCCTTCCTTCCTTCCTTCCTTCCTTCCTTCTTTGTCTAAAATATGTCTATCCTTCCAGATTGTGTTCCCTGTTGGGGGAGCTTTCTCACACAAGGCTTTTCTCACACAGAGGTTTATCTCACACTCCTCAGGAAGACACTAGCTTTGGCACACTAACTAACAAGCTCCGTGGCGCAGTGGGTTAAACAATTGAGCTGTGACCAAAAGATTCAAATCCAGGGGGTGAGCTCCAGCTGTTAGCCTCAGCTTCTACCAACCTAGCAGTTCGAAAACATGCAAATGTGAGTAGATCAATAGGTACCGCTTCTGAGGGAAGGTAACGGCGCTCCATGCAGTCATGTTGGCCACATGACCTTGGAGGCGTCTACTGACAATGCCGGCTCTTCGACTTAAGTCTACAACTTCCAATGTCTTGCTATTTTCCAGTTTTGGCAGAGAGATACTGGAGCTCATAATGGCTTTGACATGGGTCACAAGCTCCGTGGTGCAGTGGGTTAAACAATTGAGCTGCTGACCAAAAGATTCAAATCCGGGGGGTGAGCTCCAGCTGTTAGCCTCAGCTTCTACCAACCTAGCAGTTCGAAAACATGCAAATGTGAGTAGATCAATAGGTACCGCTTCTGCGGGAAGGTAACGGCGCTCCATGCAGTCATGTTGGCCACATGACCTTGGAGGTGTCTACTGACAATGCCTGCTCTTCGACTTAAGTCTACAACTTCCAATGTCTTACTATTTTCCAGTTTTGGCAGAGAGATACTGGAGCTCTTAATGGCTTTGACATGGGTCACAAGCTCCGTGGTGCAGTGGGTTAAACAATTGAGCTGCTGACCAAAAGATTCAAATCCGGGGGGTGAGCTCCAGCTGTTAGCCTCAGCTTCTACCAACCTAGCAGTTCGAAAACATGCAAATGTGAGTAGATCAAGAGGTACCGCTTCTGCAGGAAGGTAACGGCGCACTATGCAGTCATGTTGGCCACATGACCTTGGAGGTGTCTACTGACAATGCCGGCTCTTTGACTTAAGTCTACAACTTCCAATGTCTTACTATTTTCCAGTTTTGGCAGAGAGATACTGGAGCTCTGAATGGCTCTGACATGGGTCACCTCCGCTATTATTGTGCAGCAGTTTTGCGAAGAGCCTTGAAAATGCTGGACCAGACCAGAGAGCCAGGATCTAGGCCAGGTGGGGTGTGAGCCTCGTAGGAAGAAAACCAGTTTTACCTGCCCAGCCTACGGAAAAGGAAATCCGCCCAGGTTTTGCCACCTGATGGCAGATAGGAATGGCTGATGTCAAGTAAAAAGAAGCCAAAAAAAAAAAGGTTTGCAACTTCGGGTTTGTCTACACTGTAGAATTAATGCAGTTTGGCACCACGTGAACTCAACGGCTCAGTTCTATGGAATTCTGGGTGCTGTAGTTTGCTGAGGCAGAGAAGGATAAAGACCCTGCACAAGTAGAACTCCCAGGACTCCATTCAGCTTGTAAAAGGGCATATGCAGGCCTTTGGATTTTTATTTTATTTTATTATTATTATTTTACTATTATTTTTAATGTCATTTTGATAATGTTGTTGTTGTCTGTTGTATATGCTTTGATTTTATTGCTGTATTCTGTTGTCCGGGTTTGGCCCCATGTAAGCCGCTCCGAGTCCCCATTGGGGAGATGGTGGCGAGGTAGAAATAAAGATTATTATTATTATTATTATTATTATTATTATTAATTGTATTGTATTGATTGTTTTTGTTATTGCTCTTGTTATTGATGTACTGCGGGCTTGGCCTCATATGAAACGTGCCCTTGAGGATGACTTACACACAAGGGTATACAGTAGGCCTGGTTGATCAAGAAAAAATTTGGTTCTAAAATCGATTTGTAATTGGGGTGTTTTTTTGTTTCGATATTTAAAATAATTACAAAATTTTCCCAAAAAGAGTTTTGGTATTTACGAAATTTCGTAAATATTAACGAATTTTTAGAATATTTTTTTATTTTTTAAGAATAATATTAAAATAATATTAAAAAATATTTTAAAATGGAAAATTAACCAAAAAATGGCCCAAATGTGGACCAAACACAGGCAGGAGACAGCAAATGAGAGCACACACCAACAGAAGAGTCTTTTCTTTTTTAGAATACTTTTTAAGAATAATATTAAAATAATATTAAAAAATAATATTAAAAATAATATTAAAAATATTTTAAAATGGAAAATTAACCAAAAAATGGCCCAAATGTGGACCAAACACAGGCAGGATACAGCAAATGAGAGCACACACCAACAGAAGAGTCTTTTCTTTTTTAGAATATTTTTAAGAATAATATTAAAAAATAATATTAAAAAATAATATTAAAATAATATTAAAAATAATATTAAAAATAATATTAAAAAATAATATTAAAAAATATTTTAAAATGGAAAACGAAACCGCACAGGCCAGACATAGGGTAAGAGACAGCAAATGAAGCAAGCAGCACTCACAGCAGCAAGGAATGAATCCAATCCAGTTGCTAGCCAAGCCAAGCCAACCCAATGCAAACTCCCTCGCCCTCTGCAGCAATGAGCTACGGCCGCGCGGAGCCGCTTTGAAAGGGCTCGCTGGCCAATCAAAAACAAACAGCCACGGTGCACTGCTTGGGAGCGCCGGATTGGCTCCCAGGCACCAGCACTCCAGCAGCCTCCATCCCATTAACGAAACGAGCGGAAGCTCGTTAAATCTATGGGGGCTGCTGGTTCGATATTTTTAAACCCTTCCGGGTTTGAAAATGTGTTTTGATATCGCTTCAAAAATGCAAAAATAAACGAATTAATAACGAATTAACGAATTAACGAACGAAATCGCACAGGCCTAATATAGAACATATTTTGCATTCCTCTCTGTGTGTGTTTTAAGGGAGTTTATAGTTTTTCTGTAACAAGTAGGCCTTTTGCAATCCTCTCTTCCCTGCCCAGTATCAAGTAGAAAGTCTGGAAAGGTGTGAGCAGCTGGGAGACCTAGCAAGCAGATTCCTTATGCCCATGAAGATTGTCTTGGGTGATTTCTTTTTCCACGGACCCCTCATTCATCTCGATATTTTGGGCTAGGTGGCAAATGGTTATGCAGTGCTTTTCCAAAATGACAACCTCCACTTGCTGGATTGTGTGTTCATCAATAGCAGAGTGGGGTCGCCCTGGAATTGGAGCTGTTTCCACCAAAGTCTGACCACATTTGAATTGACGATGCCAGCTCTTGACTCCATCATCTGATGGGGAATCATCACCATCAACCTCTTTCAACCCATTGAATGTCTCCTTTGGTGTGTGGCCTTTCAAGGAAAGGAACTTGAGGACTGCTCTGTCTTCCACTGGGTCCATTCTCAAACCTCACTCCACTTCAGCACCTGTCACATCAAGACCGTTATCCATTCTGAGTTGTCAATTGGCACGTCACCTATGTTGACTTCTATCATTACACATGTGCTGTTTCTGCATCCTGTGCTAAATAGGAGTGGGTCAGGGGAAACCTTTAGTGAACACCCCTCATAATTAACTGCTCCTCGTTGAGGACTTGAGACTTGGGCAGTATGGGGTTGAATTCCAACAGGTAGTTGATCATGCAGACCAGAAATTCCATGTCCTCTTTTTCCTCTTAGGTACCAAAAGGTGGAAGCTTACCCTTGACCACAGAAGTTGGGAAGCGACCCTACAAGACCGAGATCATTGGCGGGGTGGTCGTCCAGACGCCCATCTCGGTCAACCAGGTAAGAAGGAAATGGCATGGCAAGCCCTGAAGCATGTCATAGTCCATTCTACTGCCTTTAGAGCAGTGGTTCTCAACCTTCCTAATGCCACGCCCCCTTAACACAGTTCATAGAATCATAGAATAGAATCATAGAATCAAAGAGTTGGAAGAGACCTTATGGGCCATCCAGTCCAACCCCCTGCCAAGAAGCAGGAATATTGCATTCAAAATCACCCCTGACAGATGGCCATCCAGCCTCTGTTTAAAAGCTTCCAAAGAAGGAGCCTCCACCACACTTCGGGGCAGAGAGTGCCACTGCTGAATGGCTCTCACAGTCAGGAAGTTCTTCCTCATGTTCAGATGGAATCTCCTCTCTTAGTTTGAAGCCATTGTTCCGCGTCCTAGTCTCCAGGGAAGCAGAAAACAAGCTTGCTCCCTCCTCCCTGTGGATTCCTCTCACATATTTATACATGGCTATCATGTCTCCTCTCAGCCTTCTCTTCTTCAGGCTAAACATGCCCAGCTCCTTAAGCTGCTCCTCATAGGGCTTGTTCTCCAGACCCTTGATCATTTTAGTCGCCCTCCTCTGGACACATTCCAGCTTGTCAATATCTCTCTTGAATTTTGGTGCCCAGAATTGGACACAATATTCCAGATGTGGTCTAACCAAAGCAGAATAGAGGGGTAGCATCACTTCCTTAGATCTAGACACTATGTAATTTTGCTACTGTTATGAATCATAATGTAAATCTCTGATATGCAGGATGTATTTTCATTCACTGGACCAAATTTGGCACAAATACCCGATACGCCCAAATTTGAATACTGGTGGGGTTGGGTTGGGGATTGATTTTGTCATTTGGGATTTGTAGTTGCTGCTGGGATTTATAGTTCACCTACAATCAAAGAGCATTCTGAGCTCCACCAACGATGGAATTGAACCAAACTTGGCACACTGGAAGGGTTTGGTGGGCATTGACCTTCAGTTTGGGAGTTGTAGTTCACCTACATCCGGAGAGCATTGTGGACTCAAACAATAATGGATTAGGACCAAGCTTGGCAATAATGAATCAGGACCATACCCAATGTGACCAAATGTGAAGACTCGTGGTGTTTGGGGAAAATACTGGAAGGGTTTGGTGGACTGGGATTTATAATTCACCTACAATCAAAGAGCATTCTGAACCCCGCCAAGATTAGAATTGGGCCAAACTTCCCACACAGAACCCCCATGACTAATAGAAAATATTGTGTCTTTGGCAACCCCTCTGACACCCCTTCGCGAGCCCTCCAGGGGTCCCGACCCCCAGGTTGAGAAACGCTGCTTTAGAGTATGTCTCCAATTGGACATTTATGTTGGGTTTGCTCTCTGGATTAGAACGTAGTACTGTGTGTCTTTGCTGTTTGTTCTTGAGGGGAAAAAGAATTGGAGTGTAGGGTGACAGCCTGTGCTGGATGGGGTCACACTTCCCCTGAAGACGCAGGTTCGCAGCTTGGGAGTGATCTTGGACTCATCGCTGAGCCTGGAGCCCCAGGTTTTGACGATGACCAGGAGAATATTTGCACAATTAAAACTTGTGCGCCAGCTGCGCCCATACCTTGGGAAGTCTGACTTGGCCACGGTAGTCCATGCTTTTGTTACATCCCATATAGACTACTGCAATGCTCTCTACATGGGGTTGCCTTTGAAGATGGTCCGGAAGCTCCAGAGTTGTCCAACAGGCAGCAGCCAGATTGCTCACTAGAGCGGCATATAGGGAGCACACAACTTCTGTTATGTCAGCTCCACTGGCTGCCAGTCTGCTACCGAGCACAATTCAAAGTGCTAGCTTTTGCTTATAAAGCCCTAAACAGTTCTGGCCAAGTTTACCTTTCCAAACATATCTCCCTTTATGATCCACCTCGGAGGCTAAGATTATTGGGGGAGGCCCTGCTCTTGGTCCAACCCCACTTGCATTTGGTGGGGACGAGAGACAGGGACTTCTCAGTGGTGGCCCCTCGGCTATGGAACGCCCTCCCTAGGGATATTAAATCAGCGACTCAACAGTGTTATTGGATAACGCTTTTAACTAGGAGACTTAAATTGATATATGTTTTTTATTGATATTGGTTTTATATTTAAACTAGCCATCCCCTGCCACACGTTGCTGTGGCCCAGTTTGTGTATATGTTTTGTGTATATATATATATACATATATGTGTGCATATATTTGTGTATATATGTGGTTTGTGTATATATGTGGTTTATAGGTATATATTTGTGTATATATGTGGTTTTGCGCATGTGTTGTAATGTATTTTTTGTTTTTTGGCTTTTTCAGTCTCTTCCGCTGTGTTTTTCGGTGTTTTTACGAGTGATGTTCACTCTTTGGCCTGAGAGGTGTCTTGTGTCCAAATTTGGTGCCAATTTGTCCAGTGGTTTTTGAATTATGTTCATCCCACAAATGAACATGACATTTTTATTTATATAGACTAGCCGTCCCCTGCCATGCGTTGCTGTGGCCCAGTCTGGTGATCTCAAAAATAAAGTAATAGTTTCTAATATATGTAATTTCTTTCTGCTGGTGGGTAAACAGTATTTCTTGCTGTTTCTTTGTCAGTGTTGATGTCGAGATTGTCTGGTTTGCCTACTCTGGAACATGAAACATATCATTGTCCTTCTTTAAGGGTCCCTTTCAAATCTATGATACTATATCTCTCTGTGTGTGTGAATATATATAGGCCTTTGATTACGTTTTCTTGCCCTGGTGAAGGGAGTTGGACTGGATGGCCTTAAATATGGTGGTTCTGTGTGGGAAGTTTGCCCCAATTCTGTCATTGGTGGGGTTCAGCATGCTCTTTGATTGTAGGTGAACTATAAATCCCAGCAACTACAACTCCCAAATGTCAGGGTCTGTTTCCCCCAAACTCCACCAGTGTTTACATTTGGGCAAATTGAGGATTCGTGCCAAGTTTGGTCCAGGTCCATCATTGTTTGAGTCCACAGTGCTCCCTGGATGTAGGTGAAGTACAACTCCAAAACACAAGGTCAATGCCCACCAAATCCTTCTAGTATTTTCTGTTGATCATGGGAGAACTGTGTGCCAAGTTTGGTTCAATTCCATAGTTGGTGGGGTTCAGAATGCTCTTTGATTGTAGGTGAACTACAAATCCCAGCAACTACAACTCTCAAATGTCAAGATTCTATTTCCCCCAAACTCCACCATTGTTCACATTTGGGCATATTGAGTATTCATGTGGACTTTGGTCTAGATCCATCATGCTGTGCTCTCTGGATGTAGGTGAACTACAACTCCAAAACCAAAGGACACTGCCCACCAAAAACTTCCAGTATTTTCTGTTGGTCATGGGAGAACTATGTGCCAAGGTTGGTTCAATTCCATCATTGGTGGAGTTCAGGATGCTCTTTGATTGTGGGTGAACTATAAATTCCAGCAACTACAACTCCCAAATGACAAAATCATTTTTTCTGAGTGAAGGACATACATTGGGTTGTTAGGTGTCTTGTGTCCAAATTTGGTGTCAATTCATCCAGTGGTTTTTGAGTTCTGTTAATCCCACAAACGAACATTACATTTTTATTTATATAGATAGATTGATTGTTTTAAAATTGCATTTTATGCCTTTGATATTGATTGTAAACTGCTCCGAGTTGCCTATGGACTGAGAGGTGTGGTATGTACATGTAGTAAATAAAATAAATAGAGGTTGAAGGACCGGGTGTTGGATACGGCCACGCCATTTAATTAAATGCAAAACCTTAATTACAATCAACTCCCATAAAGCACTTGGCAGCTGCGATGATGAAACTAAGGCAGGATTTCTCTTGCTGTATAAGCAATTAGCAGCTAGCAATCTGGTTGGCAATATATTCACGTATAAGCCTACCTCGTGTATATATATTCATGTCTACGTCTCACATATAGGTCAAGGCCAGGTTTGGGAGCCCAAATGGTGGATTTTGATATGACCTTGGATGAGTCGAGGGTCATTCCTTGGAGAGGAGAAAGCACCAACGACTCGGCCCCAAAACCTGGGATCAGTGGCACATTCTGACCGCCAAATCCCAAATCAATACTGGCTTTCTTCGTGATGTCCAGGGACTTCTGATGCTTATTGAGGGAGTAAACCAGGTTAATCCAGTTTAGCCTCATGCTCAGGAAAGTTGGGAAGCGTTCCAGAGTTTGGCCGCAGAATGCAGTGACCTCTCCGGATTTATGTTTCAGCTTTTGCAGACTGGTTTAGTCACAGATTTGTTTAGAAACGTTCTCTCTCGAAATCTCTAGGTTCTGTATGGTCAGATTCCCAAACTCATAGCAATTTCTTTACTGGATCTGTAATTGGTTAAGTGGACGAACCCAGAGGGTGCTCACCAATGCTTCCTCTTCATCCTGGAAAGAAGTGATGAGCGGAGTGCCACAAGCAGGGTTCCGTCCTGGGCCCGGTCCTGTTCAGGATCTTTATTAATGACTTAGATGAAGGGCTAGAAGGCAGGATCATCAAGTTTGCAGACGACACCAAATTGGGAGGGAGAGCCAAGACTCCAGAGGACAGGAGCAGGACTCAAAGGGATCTTGACAGATTAGAGAGATGACGGGCCAAAACTAACAAAATGAAGTTCAACAGGGACAAATGCAAGATACTCCACTTTGGCAGAAAAAATGAAATGCAAAGATACAGAATGGGGGACGCCTGGCTCGAGAGCAGTACGTGTGAAAAAGATCTTGGAGTCCTCGTGGACAACAAGTTAAACATGAGCCAACAATGTGATGTGGCGGCAAAAAAAGCCAATGGGATTTTGGCCTGCATCAATAGGAGCATAGTGTCTAGCTCTAGGGAAGTAATGCTACCCCTCTATTCTGCTTTGGTTAGACCACACCTGGAATATTGTGTCCAATTCTGGGCACCACAATTCAAGAGAGATATTGACAAGCTGGAATGTGTCCAGAGGAGGGCGACTAAAATGATAAAAGGTCTGGAGAACAAGTCCTATGAGGAGTGGCTTAAGGACTGGGCATG